CCGGGACCGGCAGCGGGTGCAGGTGCAGCCGAGGCGGCCGGAGACAGGTGGGTACCGGGGCCCTGTAGCCTCTGCCCGGCGCAGGCCGAGCCCTGTGCCGTGTGCTGTGTGCCGTGTGCCCAGCGCCCAGCACCAGGCCGGCTCGGTGCCCGCTTGCCCTGTGGCTCCTGCCTGGGGCCGGGTCCTGCCCTCGGGCTCGGGCAGGGCGCTGAGCCTGTGGTACATGACCCGGCAGAGGGGCCAGCGATGGCAGCTGCGGATGGGACCTCCCTCTCACCCCTTGGCATGAGCCCTGTGCCGTGTGCTGTGTGCCGTGTGCCCAGCGCCCAGCACCAGGCCGGCTCGGTGCCCGCTTGCCCTGTGGCTCCTGCCTGGGGCCGGGTCCTGCCCTCGGGCTCGGGCAGGGCGCTGAGCCTGTGGTACATGACCCGGCAGAGGGGCCAGCGATGGCAGCTGCGGATGGGACCTCCCTCTCACCCCTTGGCATGGGGCGCCGGCAGGCTGGCCTGGGGTTTGGGAGCTGTGTCCCTGGGACCCCTGCTGCAGGCCAGGGAGATCCCTCTCCTACCAGGCTGGGATACATGGGTCTCTGTGTCGGGAGCCTCGGTTTCCCCAAAAAACATGCCCACCCCTGCTCCGTGGCTCTACCCTGTGTGCTCCACACCCTGGGGACTCGTGTCCATTTTCTGGTCCGCTATAACGTTCTGGTCCTTTCCCGCACTGCTGCTGCCTGCCTAGTCCTGTCTGCGTTCGTGCTGTAAGTGCCCGTGGACTTTGCACTTCAAACTATAGGAGAGGAGGGGAGAAAGGGCCCCCAGGAGGTCACCTCTGCACCCCCCCCCCACAACAGGATTGTCCATATACAAACTGTTCTGGACAGTTTGTCTAACCTGTCTTTAAAACTTGATGAGCAGCTTTCCCCTGCAGCTGCGAGGCACAGAGCCCAAAACACTAGGAACAGCCTGAGCTGCCAAAGGAAAAGCAGAGGGACAAGGGCAGGGGGACAAGGGCAGTGTCCTGCTGTCGCAAGGATTCCCCTGTTACACAAATTGCCAATTGTTCAAATCACCAGACCCCTGGCAGTGCTGAGCTGTGGGCTGTGGGCAGTCTCCTGGCTCCTGCACTCTGGCTTTCCTGGGGCCGGGCCCCAGCATGGCTCGAGCTCAACCCTTGCCCTGTGGCTCCTTCCTGGGCTTTGGCAACTCGGCCCCTGACTCCCAGGGCCTGCCCCTGGCCTGTGTTGTGGGCTCTGTCCCTGGACTTCCCTCTGCCCCTCATCAGTGGACTTCTGGCTTCTGCACCAGTCCCTGGCCACAGCTATCCCGCCGTGGCCTAGCCATTAGGCCAGACTGCCTCTGACTCAGTGCCTCGCACATGGTTGCTTCTTCCCAGGTTTCTAACCACTTCCCATTCACGTGGTTTCTCTGTGTTGGTGCAACCCGGGTGCAGGAGAGAGGCCCTTGGCTGTGCCCAGGAGCTCGTCCTGTGCTCGTGTTAAGGACTCACTGGGTGTTGTCTGTGCCACTGTGCTCTAATTGCAGCCACTGCTGGGGGAGTTTCTACTCCTCGCTAGGAGTGCTGGCCATGTTGTGGATGCTCTTGTTCCCCGCGTGAAGAATGCCTCACCTGCTTCTTCCTGCCATGACTGTCTGTGAGGCCCCTCCAGAGCATCGCTGCCCTTCTTGCCCCTGTGTCTGCCCAGCTGCACCCGGGGTCGCTGCTGTTTTCTCGCTGGCCCGGAGCACAAGCCTGAATCCCCTTGCTGCAGCAGGTCCTTGCAGAGCAAACTGCTTCCCAGCAGGCTGTGCGCCGCGGTGCTGATATTCCGGGTGCGGCGTGGTCCTGCCAGGTTTCTCTTGTTGCCAATTGGATTTTTTTGCCAGAGACCCGCAAGGATTGACATGGACCCATGTCTGATATGGTGTCAAGTAAATGTTATTAGTAACTCTTATACAATACTACAGGTTTCCTTCCTGTAGCACAACCTGGCAAGTGGCTTCTTCGGCATTTCAGTGCAGAACTTCGGGGGTGCGAGGCCTCGGGTCCTTGGGTGTGTGTGATGTTTGTTTCTAGCTTCCCTGCTCTCCCAGAATCACACGCTAACACACCTTTCTCTTGGTTTGATCATTACTTTTGTAACTTTCTCATCACAGATCGTCCAATTCCCTGGCACCGTGCCCAGTATTCCTTATATAGCACACCGATCCCATTGTACTTTGGGTCTTTCCTTGTAGGG